GGGGGGGGGGGGGGGGGCTGGGAAGGGGGCGTAAGTATTACCAGTTACCAGGTCATTTAGTCGTTGCTGAAGAACGATGGTCTCACTTCTGTAGCGGGGTGCCTTTGGTTGATGACGCGTGTGTGTCTAGCATCTGGAGCACCAAGCATGATGCTCCTGATGGAGGGCGGTGCAGACCTAGCCGCTCGCCGCTGCCGGTGTCTACAATAGCTTTTTCTCAATGTTCTCGAATGTCATGTAGTACTACCAGGGGCCTTCGATTGCTGCAGTTTTTGTGCACTACGACACACACTTGTACTTGAAATGGATTTGTTGCGCTACCCGTATCCTTGTACGAGTCTCGGTGCGATGAGAGTCACCCGACTGCTGCTGCTGCCCACCATGCACGTTGGATGTAGATTGCACGTGCATGCGGAGTCAAAAGAGGAGGGGGGTGCCTCCGTTTGCTGTGCGGCCCTTCCATAATCACGTGCATGTGCTCTGCTTGACTTTCACAGCAGTAGTTGTGCGTTTGGTTCCATTTTGGGATCCGCACGGGCAAGCACCCCACGGTCGGTGCAACGGTGATGGTTACACTGCTCCTGCCCAACACAATCTCGGCAAAAAGGTCGGGGAGCCCGTGAACGTCTGTGGCTGAGTTGTTCCAGCAGCCCTGAGTTAGCCTGGTCTGGAGCGCGCGTCCTCTCCCGCCGCGAGAGTTCGAAAATCAAAGTGCCCGCGAAATCGTAGTCGAGACTATACTTTTTTTTATCTAAACGGAAACTGGAGCCCGTCAACGGAGATGGCCTCCGAAAACGTAGCCGGCCATCCCTCTATTGATTTGGATTTGGCACACGCAGCAGTGTGCTATCGGCAGGAGACCGATAACAATCGCATGTTCGCCTCGGCTACATGTACGACGAAGAAATATCGACATCTCCACCAAAAAACGCGTTGAGAGTACGAGAAAGTAACGTGGCCCACACGCTCGACGTCCTCATCGCGTCGCGTTATGGTCTTGGCGCGCGCCAGAAACGCTACGATGCATCCACCAGCAGCGCATACAGCGGTAGCAGAGTTCAGCCAGGACACTTGAAATGACTACAAATGAAGAGCATCGACATTATGCGTCAGGCTGGTTTCGTTTGCGCCGGTAGGCAAGACGCACAAGGGTACAAGAGACTTTGTTATTTCGTTACATATTTCTCTTCTTTTTTTTTCTTCCAGGCGTGTTCCCGCTCCTGACTGCACTAAACACACACACAAAATATCGCAGAGCGCAGCGTTCTGTGTTGAAAAAGGCAAGTAAAAAAAAAATCGGCATCCCTGCGCATACAGCAACCACACGCAACGCACAAACCAAACCCACCGATCTCTAGATAAAAACTATTCACCAGCAAAAAACAAACATTAATGCGTCATCGTTTCAACACGTTCAAGATGTCTAGCGGCTCGAAGTTGACCTTGAGCGAGTAGGACCACCCCTGCAGCTTCCGGAACTCTTCGAACTCCACGAGGGACACGACGGTGCCTGTTTTCCCCTGTCGGCCGGTCCGGCCGGCGAGGTGGACGTACTCGTCCGGGCTCTTTGGCTTCTGCATCAGGAACACGAAGTCAACGTCGTCGAAGTGCAGCCCTCTCGCCGAGCCCTCCCCGGTGACGAGCACGTCCCCAACCTCTGCGTCCCCGTCCCCGTTCCGTAACCGCATACCTCCAGGTCCTACTCCCCCGGCGAGAAGATGGCCGCTCGAGCTACCGCTGCCGCCGGCCCCTGTGACCACGCCGGACTCGTCGGCGGCACCGCCCTCGAACCCCCCCCCTCCTTCACCGCCCCGCGGTTCTCTTCCCCCTCCCTCGCCCCCGCCCGCCAAAGACTGCCCGGCCACCAGCCTGTCGTGCTGCTCGATGGCTTCGGAGAAGTGGCGGCCCCGCACCACGCCGAAGTCCTCGTCCGAGACGAAGCCCATCGCCTCGTGCAGGGCGACGGCTCGAGCGCCGACGGCCCCGCCGGCGCGGCGCAGGTGCGCCACCACGGCCGTGACCCGCTCCTGCGGCGGGACGAAGATCAGCGGCCGCCGGGGCTGGAGCTCGCGCACCGCCGCCGTCAGCCCCTCCAGGCGAGAGAAGAAGTCTCCGTCGCCGAGGGGCACGCAGTAGTGCCGGATCGTGTCCGGGATGACCACCGCCCCGCTTCGGTGGCCAGGTTTCGGTCCGACGACTCGGAGAAGGCGTCGCGGATGACCCTGAGCTCGCGGCTTCCGGCACTGCCGCCGCCGCCGCCGCCGCCGCCGCCGTCGTAGTCGGCGACGGCGGTGAGAGGGGTGGGTCCCATCGAGGAAGCACGGCGGACGATGTGCCCCAGCTCGCGCCGAAGAGGGCGGCCGATCGTCGCCGAGCAGGCTACAACCTGCCGACAGAAAAACAAGGCGTGCGTCGTTGCTGTTCTTGTTGAGCTGCTGCTGAGCGCATGTGGAGACAAGGCCGCAAGCTTGCAGGCAAGGGCTCGGTACCGACACCCAGCCGAGATACGCGTCGCTGGCCGGGCGAGCATGGGCGTTGAGGGTACAGAACCGTCTGCTATAACAGAACCGTCTCATTGTTTCTTTGCCAAGGCCACCACCTCGTTGATCAGACTTCAAAAAGTTGCACTAGCTCAACAGTTTACGCAAGTGAAAACCATGTCATGTGTACCGATAACAAAAGCGAAGAAAATAATGACATTAAATCGCAAGCGAGAGAACCGACATATTGATCATTCTCACCTGCGCCTCCCCGTTCGCCGCAAGGACCCTCTCGAGCAGGGCGGCGATGGGGCGCGCATGCCTCTTCCTCTTCTCCGCCTCCTTCGCCGGCGCGTGCTTTGACAGCACGTCCACCAGCCTGTCCACCTCGTCCACTACAATGCACTTGATGCGCGGAAGCACGTCCTCTCGGACGGTCGGGCGGGATTTCCGGATACGCCTGCGATAGACGCAAGGGCAGAAGCGGAGGGGGAGGGGGGAGGAGGGTGTGAGGGAAAAGGGCGCCGCGAGCGCAACTTGCGTAGGCCTTCCACAACGGCGGCAAGGGTATGTTGTCTACGAGGGTACTCAGTGGCGTGAACTGGTGAGACTCGTGTTCTACTGGCCCTGCGGTGTGAACCTAGGTACCATTTCGTTTGGCGAGTCAAGTCAGGCGTACCCCCGAAACGACACCAGTGTGCTGATCATACGTGTCAACTAATGAGGCCACTGTACGCGCTGATGCAGTGAAGCATCACAGACACATACACTTCTCCCAAAAAACGAAGAACGATCAACGCAAAACGAGCACGTCGAGCTAACAACGACTCTCACTACTTGCTCTCCCACCGCCGCTGAAAAAACACAACGCCCGTGCGTGTCGTAAAATACCTCTCGAGAACCTTGGCGGACCCCACCACGATGGGAGCGGTGACCTTCGACAGGTCGTGGAAAGTGTTGGCGTCTACCAGGAGCTCGACGGAGGCCGTCAGCCCGCCGGAAAGGAGCACAACCTCCCTCGCTACCTGCACCGCCAACTCGCGCGTCGGGAGCGCCAGCAACAGCTGCCAAGGCGCGTGGCTCACCCCGCCCCCTGCCTTGTCCGAGGCACGCTCGCCATTTACGCCCGCACTTGCAGCCGCCGCTGCCGACGTGGAGAGTAGCCCTGGCGTCCAGCGCTGCATGAGAGGCAGGAGGAACGTCAGCGTCTTCCCGCTGCCGGTCATGGCGTGAAGGATCACGCTCTCCCCGTTCAGGATGGGACCCATCCCGGCTTGCTGGATGCCCGTGGGCTCCGTTATACCCGCCGCCAGCAGGCAGTCGGACGCCGGGCTGTCGAGCACGAGCGGTCCGAAGTCTAGCCTGGTGTTGACCGCTGCGCCGCCGCCGCCGCCGCCGTCTTCCTCACCGCTCCCCGGAGAAGCGGCGGAAGAGAGGCGCTCGGTGATGCGCGACGGAACCATAGGCACCGGGGGGCGGAAGCGGGCCTTGGGCCCACCCTGGGCTACCGCCACGTAGAATGGGGTGTCCAGCTGCTGCGCTTCGTTGGCCATCCTCTTCTTCCGCCGGATGGCCGCCTTCTCCGCCCTCTTGGCCTTCGCGCCGGCCCTTGACCGCGCCCGACGGTGGTCGGCGGCTTCGACGCCTTCCGGTTCCGGGTCTGCGGCCTCCGCACGCGCCACCGCGAGCTCGGATGGGCTCATCATCATGTCGGCGTCCCTCAACGTCGACGGCGGCAGCGCGGACGTTTCCGCCGCTTTTGCTGGCGGGGCGGGCGCGTCATCGACGTCGCGCAGGGCGGCGCTGCTGCGCTGCTGTCCTCCGCTGGCGGCGAGGAGGCTCGCGGCGGAGTCGCAGAGGCTGTCGACGTCCTGCTGGCTCGGCAACTTCACCACTTTCCCCTCCAAGCGCGACGTCAAAAGGTGCAACTCCCCTCCCTCGCTTTCGTTCGCTGCCTCCTCCGGCGCCGCGCCCGCTCGCTCGAGGAGAACCAACTGCTCGACACCCACCCCCTGCTTCTCCAGCAGCTCCGCCTGTGTCGCTGTCGTCGGAAAGCCCGTCAGGACTCCGCCTATCCTCTCGCACAGGAAGGGTACAAGTGGCAGCGGGCAGCGGGTTTTTCATGTTTGGTGAAATAGTGAACGAGAGAAGAGAGGGAGAGAGAATTACTGTCAGCATCTACTTCTTAGTCTGCACGTGTGTTGTGAATAGTTAGCTTCGCCTCCAGGAATCACCCCCACAGCAAGAGGAACATCAAAGGCGATAGACTCGCTTCTGATTTAGGACGAGAAGACAACTGCAACAGGAACCCGATTCAAGAATATACCTATTGCTGCATTAGACGAAGACTGGTGCATCCTCAGCCCTAGACGCGAACTCTCTGCGGACTTTTCGCAACCCCCTCCCCTCACCCGTACTCGCAGGACACGTCCCTAGCCACTCCGCCGCGGCCTTCGCCTTGACATTGTCCGTCTTCCTTCCCTTCCGGCCCTTCATGAGCCCGTCCATTGACGTCGCCACGAGCCCGTGCCGCTCCGCTATTCTCAGCCCCAGCTCGTCCGCGTTCTCGCCCACGATCGCCAGGCGGAGGAGGCCTGCTGGCCTGCTCGGCTCATGATCTTGAACGGGCACCTCCCTTCCTGCCGTTGTTGCTGATGGCGTCGACGTCATCGACACTGCTGTACCACTTCTACTTGGGGTGGCCACGGCTTTGGTAGCCCACCAAGGCCGTCTCCTACTGGTTCTCGAGCACTCTGGCCACCCTCGCCCACCATAGCACATCCGAGGTGAGGCTGCTGCTGCTGCTGCTGCTGCTGCTGCTGCGGGATGGAGACGGACCACGGCGAACGGTTGCCGTGGAACCGCCGCCATCATGGCCGCTTCAAACGGCCGGACAGCAAACCCCACTACATGGGGCACAACGAGGAAAGTTCCTCCCGCAGCATGCACAAGCCTCATGGTCAGGACCTTCAGCTTGGGGTAAGTAAAGCGCTGGCTGGTCAGGTGTTGCGCGAGCGCGAGGTGTCGCGAGGGTTCCGGCAGACAGGACAGAACCAGGCTTGGAGTTTGTTGATGTTGAGGTGGCGGTTGCTGCCGTTTCATGCGGCGAGATTCTCAACTCTGTTACTCTGTTTCAGTCGAGCGATGCCCATGTTTCAATTGCTGTTTTGATGGTGGCTGCTCCCACACACCAGCTGCGCACACGGGCCTCTTGTTGGTACCCGCACGCAAGGAGAGGAGGAAAGCAACATTAAGCACTATGTCAGTTCCTTCTCAAGGAATGATGCTCAGCGAGCGCCCCTCAGGCGGCTCCATGGCGCCGTCGGCAGGGGGAGCCACCGCGCTGGCCGGGGCGGGCAGCATAGGGAACTACAAGGGCGTGATGCTCTGCAATAGGCCGTTCGCAGGGACAGCGGCGGCGGCCAAGGGAGGCGGAGGCAGCGGCGGGGCGGCCGCGGGAAAGCATGCCTTTGTTACGGGAAAGGTCAAGTCGGAGGTAGGGTTCGCCGGTAAGAGCCTGCAGACGGAGAAGCTGCTGCGCAAGCGTGTCAAGCGCGAGACGGCACTGACTCGGCACCGGAAGTGGTTAGCGGACCTGCAGCTCACGAAGCAGGCGCTAGAGGAACAATACATGGAGGAATTGCAGAAGAAAGAGGAGAGTAAGAGACGCTTCGCCGAGAGGGAAGCGCGCATGCGGCAGATGACTCGCGAGCTAGGGGCTGCCGCCTCAGACCGCAAGATAGGCCAGGGCTACGGCAACGAGGAGCAAGGGAGTAAAGCGTGGGCTATCGGGCTCGATGACGACGCAACAGTCGAGACTGCGACTAAAAACCACACTAGACCATGTAGCGCGGGGAATGACGACGATCGACTAGATGGGGAAGAAGAAGGAGGGAATTCAAGACCGGAGCTTGAAGAGGAAGAGGATGTGGGAAGTCGAATAGATCCTTCCGAGTTGAAGGCCGTAGAAAAGCGTAGAAAGAGGGACGGGAAGCCGTGTCGACCAAAGTGGGCCATGACTGAGGCTGAGGCCCGGGTAGAGGACGAGCTCAAGCACGAGGAAGAGCTTGAGGTGAGATAGTACAACTCCTAGATCTTGTGTGGAGCAACCGATCGCGTGTGAGCGAGAACCGCCTAAAGTCCTCGTCCGAGCTTCAATGGTATCCGGCCCTGGTCCACTCGTCTCTGTGACGATCGATCAAGTTCTTCCTTTCGTTCTTTTTCGTGGTATAACTGGTTTCCTGAGCTATACCAATGCAGCAAATAGGAATTAGGACACATGAAACTCACGATGCTCAGAGCAAGCTACATTTCCCCCCCGGAAACATGAGAGCTTCCCCATGGGAAGAATCCAGGCGCCCTTACGAAAACCTCTACTGAACCAAGCTGCCCCCGACACGTCTGGACAGGAACTACTGCAATTTACGCAAGGGTTGGACTTTGGAAGGTACATCAAAGACGCCGAGGTGCAGTCGATGATCGACCAGGTAAAGAGGAGAATACTTGAGCTCGAGGGGCAGCCGGAAGTGGACGAAGAATGCCCCGAAGATGACGACGACGGTAGTGGCGACAGGGACCAAGGCCAGGACGATGATCCACTGGACGAGGCTGAGATTCGAATGCAGGTGTGAGGGTTTTCGTTACAAGAGCAAACAGCCCAGAAAGCTGGGGAAGGACGATATTCATACATTTTTTCGAGAATTTTGGAGTCTGGCCACCGGCAACCCAATGCTGTGCGCGAACTACGTCGCGTCATCTACGGCAGAGTTAGATCACATAGTTCGCTACACCCACGCCCCCTGCCACCCAAAATGCCCATACTCCGCCAACAGCTACAGTGCGCATCTATCAGCAGCGGAGGGCGTTTCCATAGCAGTGGCCAAGAGTGACACAAGTTGGTTCACAACAACGATCTCCCGATTTGGTCTGACTTGCTTTGAGAGTTCCTGCACTGAAAGAACCTTAGGCGACGGCAACAGATTCACGAGATGCGACCCGAATCGTTGAAGGTTTAACTCGGTCGTATCCCCTGTGGTCCGAGGTTTACAGGCTGTGCTCTCATTTGCAGGGTCCTCTTCACAAGGGGGATGCTCTCCACAACTGGCTCAGGTGTTGACTGATTTGATTGAACAGCAGTGGTGACTTTTGTCTTCTTCCTCTTGGGTAGGGGGGGCGGCGCCTCCAGCAGGGGCAGTCCGTGTTATCTCAATCCCCTGAAAAATGTTTGAAAAATCACAGGCAAAGATTATGAAGCTCACGGACATGAATTTGGCGACTTTCGAGGGCGCCAGCGACGGTGCCAGCGCCTGCAACCCGCGCGAAGAAGACGACAACATCAGCATCGCGCGCACAGCTCTCTCGGAAGGAGGAAGGAGCGTGCGGTCGATCCACTCGGCGCGGTCGCTCGCCGCCGTGGCGGAGAAAGCCCGTGTTGGCATCATCAGAGGGGGCGGCAGTGGCGGGGATGGCACCGGCACAGCGCCGGCCAGGCTCGAGAAGGGACTGTCATCCACGTTGTCTGGAGGAGGGGACCGTGAGATGCCCGTCAATGATATCGTGGTTGTGACACACCAGGACGACGGCGGGCTGCGACGAGGGGGCAAGAACACCGTCAGCAATTTGCCGTACATCAGGAGAAATCCTGCTCTTTGAGGAGGAAGGACAGGGGAGAGTCGAGCCTATTTCTGTGTGTGTAGTTCCTTACGTTGTTGCTTTTGATGCCCCCGTTCTTTTTCTTGACCACGTGTAGAGGTAACCTTTGATGCCCGTCACGTGAGCCATAACCCTGGGCCGTTACTCTGTGTTGTCCTGAAGTGAGTGCGTATAATCCTCATGTAGAATCGTAAAGAACGCGATCTGCACAACGGGCGTCGTTTCGTGGCGCAGATCAATGGTAGTCTACAAGGGGGCGGTGGCCAAACCAGTTTAGCCACGAGTCGTGGTCCAACATGTTCAAAAATTGCGCATACAGGACCGTTCACTACAGAATTTCGGGATCGCGTGATGCTGTGTGCACTCGGTGTCCTCCTGCTAGACCCCAAACCCTAAACAATTGTTAAATAAGCTGCTCGACAAACCATTTCGCACCGTTTCGCACATAGGCTAGCGACTCGGCCTTGAATTTTTCCCGCAAGCACTCCACAACACGCAAGCACCACGGGATGGCTTCACGAACGTACGGGAAAAGCACCCAACATGTGGGCTCGTACGTGCAAGAACCAGCTGCACCTTCGCATGCCTTCAATGAAACATTACCAACTCACGCAATTAATCACGATCCCGGCTACGTCGACAAGTAAAGTCATGGGTGAGTGGAGGACCGGTGTAGAGGTGTTGGAAGATTGGTGAACACACGACCAGATACGATCTGAGCGGAGGAGTTGTTGCTGGTCGTTGAACAGCAAGAAACCCCACTATGGATACGACTCTCCCAAAGCCACTTCCGGAGATTGGGAGTGGGAGGAGTTCGGACTTCCCTACCCTCCCCCCTCGGGGTTCCCTCTTCCGAGATCTTCTCCACGCCAAATCTACAGAGAGAAACGCGCCAGCCCCCCGCAGTGGGTAAAGACTGTTGTACCACGACCTGGGTCTCCTTCTAACCAGGTGTTGGAGCCTGTGTCCCTTGGTAGTGCTTTGGAAATCGTACGAAATCTCCGCAAGACACCAGGATGGTATATGTCGTGCGCTACCACCTCCCGTCCTATTGCCCCGCTTGCTACCGCGCCACGGTAGCGAACAACATTTTCGCCAGTATCCTAACTGGATGATCAACCCTCAACCGTTGGAAGAGGGCACAAGCTTCAGCAGTACAGCGCAAACAGTCAGTCGCGCTGCAAGAAGATGCACCACTTTTTCACGTCCAACTGAACGTAAAAAAAAAAACTGCAACCCTCGTGTGCTTCAACATGCTTTGTGTGTGGCACGCGCAAATCAAAATTGAAGTGACTTCAGGCAACCTTACTTCTCCCAGAGCACAGCAAGATCTTGTACCTTCCTTCCTCTATCCCCGAGCGTAAGGACTATTCCTGCTCCTCTACCCGACACGCACGAACAACACGCACACACAAACGTGTTCGGACAATGAGCTTCGAACACATGTTACTTCTATGTCCGGCCGCTGGGCCCTATTGAATGTCCAGTCTCCTCCGCGGCTCCGTGATTGAGAAACACCACTATCTTGATTAGACCAGTCGGTTGGGGCGGTCGATGGAAGTTGAAGAAACGCGTAGGCACATTTACGTGGTCGAATGCAACGCACGCCGTACCAGCAGCAACGGCGTACTCGTTTAAGGACCGTTGTCAAAGACACGACCGCGCCTACCTACGGCAGACCCACGACGCGGCTATCACAACGCGGTGCGACGTAACCGCTGCTGCTTGAGCGCCAACTAACGCCCCTCTACCGATGAAACAAGTAAACATGACTGCGGAGAAAACCTCCTGGCGCTGACTTGGCAAACTTAATATTTCCCCCATGAAGATATCGCCAGACTTGTGTAGGTGCATCTTCCCACGCAATTGAACCACTGAAAACCAAAACAAGAACAGCTTTACAAGAATCGGGAAAGAACAGCCCAGAGGTGGAGTCTTGACCTCAGCAACCTTCAACTTCAGTGCATAATGTCCGAGGAGATTGACGGAAGCTTTACCACCGGCCTTTTCCGAACTTGGCGTCGTCTTCTTCCACTTCGGCCTTGCCCTTCTTGATCGCCGCGTAAAACAAGAAGATGAACGTCGGGAGCGAGAGCGTGCCGATGATGTAGGTCGCGGTATACCCGAGCTGCGATGTCAAAGGGAAAAAAAGCAAACGCCGCCGCCCGCCCCCCCCCCCCAAAAAAGAGCGAGCGAGCGGTCGAACGAGGGTATTTCGGATCAGAGGTGCGACCAGCAAACAATCCAATTTTCGAGAGCAGTGCATGCTCACATTGTGCCCTGTCGCTATTCAGGCGGTAGACAACACGCGCATCACTAACAAAAAATGGAAAAACAGACGTACAAGTAGCGCGGTGTGCTTTTCGGACTTGAAACAAACCAAGACACACGCGATTGCTGCACACCGTTGTAGCTGGAGAAACCAAATGCGGAAGGCGCAAACGCTGGGACGCGCAAGCTTCCACAATGATTGGTATCACACGCGAGAAGAGGATGCTCTGGGGTGTCAAAAATGGTACTGCAAGGTCAGGGTATATGGCCAAGACGATCTACAAGCACAGGACCACGCGCATGATCACCTCTAATAACTGCTGTATCCAAATAATTTGTCAGGGTATCTGCTAGAGTATTACTGTAACTACGCTCGCTTTCGTCCTTTGCCAGATCTCGCTTGAGCTCTCTTGCTGGGTGTATAACGGTTGACAAGAACTGGAATAATCTACCGTTCGTTGTGAACCCAGCAAGAGCCATCAAGCAAGATTTCGCAAAGCACGAAAGCGAGCATCTTGAGTACTCCAACAGATCCCTGACATATCATTGGGATACAGTTACCTAGCGCTGATCATGCGCGTGGTCCTCTACTGGTGCAGAGGTAGTATCGGCTTGGCTGTAGCATGTGCCCTCACCTTGCAGTACCATTTGTTGACGCCCCTTGAAAGCATGGGACCTACATGCAGGGCGCCATCCACCGTACGATACAATCATTTCCGTTTTGCCAGTATTTATCTGCCGTATTTCTTCCTGTTACATCCGCATCTATCGGCATGAAAGCATTCCTCCATTCTGACTGCCTCAGGTCGCCCCTAATCGACACACAGAACAGCTGCAGTGGCATCGAATGGAAAACGCACATGTAGCACACGGACTCTCACCAGTTAGGATAATGGTGCGCTCTGACTTGTCTTATCAACACCACGAACGTTCGACCAGCGGGAAATAGCACTTGTTTTTAACAACAACCCGACACACGCGATGTCTCGTCACACCCGGCCGTGTGGAAAAACAACCCCCAGATTTCCAGCGAATACATGTGTCTGCTTGACTGTTCGCGAGATCCTCACCTCCGGATGGCCGCCGGTTACCTCGAAGATGCTCCCGGTGAAGGCAATCGACACCACCGTGGCCAGCACCAGCAGGAGGTACGACGGCAACGGGATCGGGTAGTCGCTGGTCGTTACCGCTTCCTCCTTCCCGCTCGCCGGCGCCTTGTCCGCCCCGGGCTGCTCCCCTATCAGGCCGCTGTAGTAGTCCAGGTCTTCGGGTACGGCGGACTTCGCAGGCTCTGCCGGGGGTGTTGTTGTTGGAGTTGTTGCGTCATCGTCCTCAGACGTGGCGGCTGTTCTTACGGTCGTCGAACGGACCCGAGCCGCCACCGGTGTGGTAAGTGACCTGTTGGATTTCGGCAAGGTGTGGCTTTCAGCATATGTTTTGATGCCGCAAAAGCCAGCTGATGGTCTTGCATGTAGGCGCGGATGATTGTGGATGGTGCGGGGCATCATCTGTCTCATCAAAGTGTTGTCGACAGCAGTGCCATGCGGTCGGGGCGTTTGAAAACGACGACGAAGCGGTACAGCGCATCGTCTTGGCTAACTCCGCCGTGAGGGCTGTGCTCACTACTGTTCATAAAGTCTCCTACGTTGTTGCCCTAGTCTTCTACTCACGTAGTACCCATTGCTGATACCGCAAGCAAGCCTGGGGGTGCCACGCATGAAACATGATCACTGCGCACCTGGCTTGATGCCTGTTGGTGTTGATCGCTGCAGAGGCCCATCTTGCTTTTGGAGAAACGAACGCATCGGACACAACGAACGTCACCAGTACAAGCAGCGCAATGATCGACAGGCGGGTCATGATCAAAGGTGAAAACCGTCCAGCATGCAGCAACAAGCACAGCAGGGAAGTGGTACTGCTGTTGGTCACACCGCCCACATGCATGGCGGGGGGATAACAAGTCAGAGGGAGGGGTACCACACCAAACACATTCATCCATTCACGGTGCCTCTTGCGGACTCCCAAAGATTTGAATTTGGCATTCCGCACCCGTCCTGCGCAAGCAACGCGCAACGCTAGCAAACACGACAGCCCAAAGAATCTCTGCACTCTTTGTTGAGGACTCTCACTGGATATTCCAGGCGCCAACCGCGCAACAGGAAGTGTGCGTGTGCAGTTTTGGAGCACAACGGCGCGGCTGGATTTTGAAAATATCTGCGACTGAATTTTCAAACGGCTGAGAGATGGCTCCCCCTCAGGAACCCGACTCCCTGCTCGAGGACACCATCCCGCAGCGCATGGACATGGACATGGACATGGACATGGACATGGACATGGACCTGCAGCAGCAGCAGCAGCAGCAGCAGAATCAGCAGCAGCAGCAATCACCAAGTGCAGCCGCAGCGCGCCGTGACGCACGGTGCGAAGAAGACGTGCCGTCTCCTGGTCGCCTGGATGAGTTCGATTTTGAAGGTTCCTTGGACGCCATCACGACGACGACGACAACGACATGCCCTCCGCCTCCTGCCGTGGCACGGGACGAGAGCAGCAGCGCCAGTAGAGGAGGAGAGGACCCTGCAGATGCCGGCGACGCTAGTGCAGAAGAGGGTGCAGCGGATGCACAGGACGATGAGGTACGAGTGGAAATTCTGTTTTTATGAGCGTTTGCTTCCTGCTTCTTGGTGGTCAAGTTGTGCAGCAGTGGATTTGCGGCGCCGCGTTTTTTCAAATCCGCAGCAAGCACAACACAGCGTTCACAGGTGTGAATGTGGAGGTTTCGCGTACAATAGGGTTATTGTCGAGCTGGTATGTGGGCTTCACGAAATGCTCTTGCTTGGTGCTTTCGATAGCTTCTGCTAGGACAGTATCGATCTGCATCTATACTCCTGGGAAAATTGAAAATTTCATTTCAATTTCAAAATTCGACTCGTACACCGGCAGCAGTCTCGAGATGTATGTGCAAGCTGCTCGTGTGCTCGCCTCAATTCCATCTGTGAAGATTAAGATGTAACGCCACGGCTGTTATCCTTGGTGGACTCGGTCGCATGGGGATTTGTGCCATTTGGATCGAAAGCTTTGTCGGACTGTAGCATTGAAAATGTGCACTATATTTTTGTGTGAAGTCAGCACACCCGTCTCGGGTGACATCGCCCATTGCACGAGTGTACTCTGGTGTCGACCGGAACCGAATACGGTTCGTCTCCCGTTCTTCGACACGTGTTGGTTTCGACGTGTGCGCTTTCTTCAACGCGCGGACTCTGACGCTGTCCCCTTTTCGTTCCGACGGTCAGGCGGTGGAGGGCGAGGCAAACCAACCCCTTGCGGGGACGCCTGCTGGGCCGGATGAGGCCGAGAAAGCGGTGGCGGAGGAATCGGAGGAAGAGAGTTGCGACTACGGGTGTGCTCGGCCGAAGGCAGCAGCGCGCGTGTCCGCGGCAGAGGACAGCGGTAGCGAGTCCCCGACTTCAGCAGAGAAGTCTGCGATAGAGGCAGCAGCAGCCATAGTGCCAGACGCTGAAGACCAAGAGGCGGCTCCTCAGGAGGACGGCGAAGCGCAGGCGGCCACGGCTGACGCCGACGTTGTGGATGACTCCTCCGACGAGGCAACAGCAGAGAAGGGGGGCGGGGGGGAGGCCGTGGCGTCAGCGGGAGCAGCTGACGAAAAACAAGGCCCCACGGATGAGAGTCTCCTCGAGGCGATTCGTGGTATTCCTGGGGAGGTGGAGGATATTGGGAAGCTCACTGCCAAGCAGGTGAGACAGCATTAAAACATTTCCTTGTTCGATTTGGTGGACGAGAGACTTGACAGCCGAACGCCAAGCCGCCTCGCCCCACATAGGTAAGTCGTTTGCGCTTGCTGCTCTTGTCCTTGGGTGCTTGGACAGAAAGCATGTCAGTGGGCGTGGTGTATGCTCCAGTGTGGCATCATCTTCGAGTCTGCCACTGGCAGGTTTTGCAGGAAACGCCCAAGCTCACCACCCACGGCGGCTATCGTCCCTTCCTCCCTCGTTCCTCTTCCTCTCGCACCCGACGATCAATCAGGTGATCGCCATGCTCGAGAAACGTTTCTCGTGCTCGCTGGAGCACCGCAAGAAGTTCATCAAGGCGGAGCTCGTGGAGGTCGTGCAAGCTGCTCTAGGCGACGGCGAATCTTCCTCCTCCTCGTCTTCTGCCTCAGACAGCGATGTCGGTGAGGCTAGCGAGGGCGAACAGCAAGAGGGGTCGTCTTCGCCCGAAGATTCCGACGACGAGGCGACGGCTGCTCTCGACAAGGAATCCGATCAAGAAGGGCAGAAGAAGCAGCAGCCGACGTCCGACCAAGACAGCAGTGACAACGGACTGGAGTCGTCCTTGTCCGACGATGCCGGCGAGCTGGAGGACATGCCGGTGATGCCCCGCCCCGACCCCCGCAAGACCTCCGCCCGGAGAGCGCTCGCGAAGGCCAAGGTGAAGCGCGCCATCCGCCGTGCGAAGACGGGCACCGTTAGCGGCGGCGGCGGCTCCTCCTCCTCCGAGAGGTCGGCCGCGGCGTCTTCATCAGACTCGGACACGGCATCGGTGGCATCCGGTACCAGCGGCAGCGGCAGCGGGCACAAGCGCACGAAGAAGCCGGCTCAGCGCAGGAACAGGAAGAGCAGTGGCGGTACCCCCTCCTCCTCCTCCTCCTCCTCTGACGATGAGGGCCCCGGGTCCTCTGATGCTGCAGCCGGCAAGACCAAGAAGAAGCCGGAGGGTAGCAAGGGTAAGAAGAGCAATGGACGGGGGGCAAGCGCGAAAGCTACGAAGAAGATAACGAAGAAGATAACGAAGAAGAAAGGGGCGGCGGACGAGGGCGGATCGGACTTGGTGGATTCGGACGAAGGAAAGGAGGAGGCCGGAGTGGAGGGTGCGGACGAAGCGCCTTCGAAGGTCGTAAAGGCTGTGGTCCAAGAGGAGCTCGACGTGAGTCTCACGAGTCGAAATTTCGTGCACTTGTACCCACTGGCACCTAATCACAGACGTTTTCCCGCTTGATGAGATTTCGCCTCTGGTCAAGCTTGTGTAAGTGTTTTCGTGTTTCAGTACGTTTTACTGTTCGAGTGCTATTCAGGTTCACACCTCGACTGGTGTGCTTTCAGTCGCGGTCGTGTTTTGCGTTGTAGCTCGCGCGTCGTTCGCTCCCCACGCCGACGCGTGCGTGGCCAAAACGACACCTTGTGTATGACGCCACCTCCACATGCTTGTCTCGCCCTACAGGACGCCAACGAGAAGAAGGCGGCGGAGAGGAAGAAGGCCGCGGCCGAGCGGCAGCGGCAGCTGGACGCTCTCCGCGTCATGAACGCGGCGCAGCTCAAGGAGGCGACGCGCGCGCAGCAGGGCACCCTCCTCGCCAAGATCAAGGAGCGGCAGGACGCCCTCCGCGCCGCAATCGTCGCCAACGCCAAGGAGGAGCTCAAGTCCCTAAGGGCGGAGGCGCGCAAGGCCGCCGGCATCACCGAAGAGGAGGAGGAAGAGGAGGAAGACGATGGGGGAGGGGAGGAGAAGGGAGAGGTGGAGGGAGGAGCGGGAGGGATGGAGGTCGAGGGGATGGTAGAGAAGGAAGAGCGCGCCGTCGCGGCGGCGGCGGCGGCGGCGGAGGTAGCAGAGGGCGGGGATGAAGGGGAAGAGGAGGAAGAGGAGGAGGAGGAGGAGCAGGAGGAGGAGGAGGATAGCGATTTCGCCATGAAGGCGAAGGGTCCTACCAAGGGCGCCCTTGGCCCTGCGGAACAAGGCAGCGCGTCCGGCGAGAGCGGGTCGTCTGACTCCGACTCGGATGACTCTGAGGTGAGAGCTTGGGGAACGGATGTTTTGGAGTCGGGGGGAGGCCTGTCCGCAGAACAGCTCTTTTTTTTTTTGCAGGTGCTGCAGGACAAATACGATGAGGGTATATTTGCATATGTGCCGGTATTTGGTTGGCCTTCGTTGCCTCTCATCTCCACTTTCTCTTTCTTGCCGTATTTGCTTCGTCCGGAGGTTTCACCGTTAGTCGCTACTTTAACCCTGACTTGGGCTTAGTGTTGAGATACTCACTAGGAGGAAAGTGACCGGCATGCAGCTCCTTCTCCATCGTGTGTTGACTCCGAGTCTCCAAATTCTCACCAACCATCCCTCCACCACCCCGCCTTGGTCTCCGAACACGCCTCGTGTGCTGGCGCGACGCTTTGCTTTCGCGATGAGGCAGCTGGAAATCCTTCCCGCAGACCCGACCGCCGCCCTTCGTGCCTTGGTGGGGCGACAGAACCCGGCGGCTGCTGCTGCTGCTGCTGCTGCTGCTGTTGCTGCTGCTGCGACCGCTCCCCCCAAGAACAAGAAAGGCGGCATCTCAGCGGCTGCTGCTGCGGCGACGGCGGGAGAATCGGCAACGGCGGGGACCACCGCCGCCGCCGGTGGGCGGGCGCTGGCGGCGCTGCCGAAAGGCATGCGGTTCAGCTCCCCCAAGGCCGCCGACAAGAGCCGCAACGCAAACCGAAAGAGGCTGGCCGCGAGCGCGCGCACCGTCGCCAGCGACCGCTGGGCCGCGCAGCTGGGTTTCCGGGACGGGCAGGAGCATATCCGCGAGCTCAAGTGAGTTTACTACTTCCGTTACCGCGTTTTTTTTTCTGTGATGTTGCGGTCGTCGGTGCTGTTGCTCATCTGCCAGGACTGCTTCGCATGGAAAGGGGAGGGGGGTCGACGGGAAGGTGCAGACCGAAACGGGTCATGAGGCTGGGGTCGTTTTGATACGAGTTATTTTGTCTCTCGGTGTTGTTGTTGCAAAGTGATGCCCTCCTCACCCGCACCTCGCCGCCGCGGCGTGGTTCTTCTAAACCCTACGCGTGCATGTGCAAATTTGGTCTTTTGTCTTTGTTCACGCAACGCCTACACCCGTAAAAAAAAGGTTCAAGGAGATTGAGCGCCGACGGGAGGCCCACAAGGAGCGGGAGCGCAAGAAGAAGGAGACCGAGGCGCTCGCGGCGCAGCTCCTGGAGTACGCCAAGCACGCCGACGAGGACGAGGAGGAGTTCGGGGCGACGGGCGAAACGAGCGGCGGCGCGGCCGCTTCGACCGCTGCCGATGGTGACCGCGAGGAAGGCGCTGCACCACAGGTGGACGCTGGTAGCGCCGCCGCCGCCGTCACCGCCGGCGAGTCCACGGGGACCACCACCACTGCAGACGGCTCCTCGTCATCATCGTCATCTTCGTTGTCATCACCATCGTCCCCGAAGAAATCCGACTCGCAGGGCGTGAGCTCGACGGCCGCCGAGCCCACGGCGGAAACCGTCCCTGGGGGGTCGACCGAGGCGAGCCGCCAGGAGGAACCAATCGCCGCTTACGAAGCCGTCGAGTCCGCCAAGCAGCAGAACGAGGAGCGTGGCGAACCCAAGCCCTCGCCTGCGGAAGGTGTTGCCGGTGTACCCGAGCCGGCTTCCGGGGATGGGGACAAACCCGGAGACGCTGCCACCGGTACGGCCGCTGCTTCCGCGGCGCCGACCTCCTCGGGATCTCCCGTTGCCGCCGCCGCCGTTACAGCGGCTGCGCCGGTTGTTGTGCCACCCGCCCCCGCGGCTCCCCCGATCCCCCGGCCTAAGATTGTGCGGACCTACGGACGCAAGCAGACCAGCCGAGGCTCGGAGGATGCTGCGGACGGGGAAGGCTTCCTGGCGGGGTCGGCGGCGCCAGGGGGGGCACCCGGGGGACGAGCCGCGGACGGGCCCGCCGCCGGCGCGGGCGGGAAGAAAAGCACCATGACGGCTGAGTCGCAAGCTCTCTGGGAGGAGGAAGAAGACGAGGAGGGGGAGGAGCTACCGGCGTCACCGAGGGCAGCGGGAGCGAGCCTGGCCGAGGACAGCTGCACCTTCTCGTTGGCGTTGGACGACTTCAGCGACGATGACGGGGGGCGTGCGGCGGAGGAACCGCGGCCCACGGAAGACGGCAGTGCCGCTTCCCCGGTGTCGTCGTCGCCAGCACCGTCCAAGCCTGATGATGATGATGATTATGATGATGGGGGCCACTCAGAGGCGGGTACGAAGCGTAAGCTCGAACCGCCGGCAGGAGACGGCAGCAGCGACGACGCCGCGGACAGCGGCGTGGCGACGGAGACGGCGATAACGGAAGCACGTACCGCCTCGGGAACCTCGCCGACCGAGGGGGACAGCACGGCTCCGGCTGCGGCTGCGGCTGCGGCTGCGGCTGCGGCTGCGGCTGCGGCTGCGGCGGCACCGGCGACAGGGTCTTCCTTCGTGAAGAAGAAGCTCAAGGCCGACGGCGAGCTAGAAACGGCGCCGACCCAGCCCAGTCTGTCGAACTTCTTCCAGAAGGGCGCTGGGCCGGCGTCGGCTGCGGAATTATCAGCGGCGGCGACGACGGCAATGATGCCACCCTCGAAGAAGAAGAAAACGGGAATCGCGGCGTTCTTTGGCGACAGCGGCAACGACGTCCCGGCGGCTGCTCCCGAAGCGGTAGTTCCGGAGGGGACCCCCGAAGGTCGGTCGACGATTGCCTCCGACGAGGCCGGTGATGGCGATACGGTTTCGGTGGCAGCCGCGGCAGCAGCAGGCACGAAGGAGACCGAACCGTCCGCTGCGGAGAGCAAGAACAACCCAGCAGCCGAGCCCGTCGCCGCCGCGCCAGCGGCAGCAGCAGAAAAGGAGAAGGAAGACGCCGATGGGGGTGCGGCAGACGACGAGGCAGAGGAGAACCAGGAGGAGGAAGAAGAAGAACCTAAGGAGCCCAAGGACCGTTCCGCGAAGTATCGGGCGATGCTCGAGGCGGAGCGGGCCGCCACCAAGAAGGCCAAGAAGCTCCGCAAGTCCGGGATGATGGACGACGAGGCCGAGGAGGAGGAGGAAGAGGAGGCCGTCCGGGGGCTCGGCGACTTCGGTTTCGGGGTGCCGGCCGGAGGGACGGGAACGTCGGCGGCCGGCGGTGCCAAGAAGGGCGACGACGAGGAGGATGACATCGACGACGAGATTCGGGAAGAGGTGCGTCGTGAGAGCATGTGAGGTAGCGGGGGGGGCAGTGGTAGCGGTGGTGTCATTACCAAGCCCGTGGTGGCGTTGTGTAGCGGTGGTATCTAGCTGTACGTTGCACGCACCCAGGTCCCGAGTTCAGGCTCGTGCCCAATCCATTCCCCCGCACCCAGCAGTGTGTGTGTGTTTTTTTTTTTATATATTATTAGCATCGACCGCGCTAACCGGCTGACCAATGAAAAGACGTCAGTCTTAGTGCGGTTGAAAACACAAAACACTTCTATCTGCCATGAACTGGGACCCCGTGAGGGGGCAGCATGTGTGTGTGTGTGTTTTTTTTTTCTTTTTTTCTTTTTGGCCGTGGCAACCACAAGCAGCGAAGATAATCTCTCCTAACCAAGATTTTTTTGTTCCTCCCTCCCTCCCTCTCTCCTTCTCCTTCTCCATCTTCCCCCACAGGACCTCGAAGGCATTGTCGACACCTTCTCCGACGACGAGGGGGACAAGGCCGCCCAGGACACCTACATCAACGACGAGAACGCCGCCGGCGACCGGCGGGAGCTGAAGGAGATGGTGAGGCGTGTGCGGGAGGGCTTCGGGGAAGAGCGCGGCGGCGGGCGCGGGCGGGGCGGCAACGCCCGCGGGAACCTCCGTCTCGACGAGCTGACGAGAGCCGACAAGAGCACGCGGGGGGAAGCGAGGCGGCTCGGCTTGCTCAACAGGTGGGTGGCGGCGTGCTGCTGTTGTTGTTGCATCATCCGGTGAACGCGTCCGTTTCGTTCGTGTCAACGCAGCAGCAGTTGTAGTAGTCGGTGTGCAGTTGTAGGCGTCAAGTTTGCTTTGATGGTTCGAGCTGGTCTCCCGCTCGGGCGTGGGCTTGTCGCTTCCTGTATCTTCGAACGTTTCTGCACTTGGGGGGTTGTGGGGCGTGTACCATGGTGCGCCGTTGTTCGGTAGGACAAGAGGTGCATCCAGATATCTGGTATTGTTACCTAATATTGTGACTTCTTTGCCACCACAACAAAGTTGACACGAACGTATGTATGCATACGGAACGACTATTTACCTCCCTTCCTGTTGCAGCGATGAGGAATGGAGCGATGACGAGAAGGCCGAGGACGCCAAGGGAGGGGCGGCGAAGGACGACCTAGAAGAGCTGGACGAGCTGCAGCTGGGCGAGCTGCTTGCCAGGGAGCAACGCGCAAGGCACATGGGGCTCAGCCAGGTCCGTACGACTTCTTCAACACATGGCACCCGTGGGGGGTGGAAGTTTGGTCGAGAAGTTGGTGGGTGGCGCCTGGTGCGGTTGGGGTAGTTGTTCCGCCTGCCGTGAGATCCGAACTGCGCATCATGTGCGTTCTCAGAAAGATCGATACTTTGCCTGTGAGTGCAACTGGATCACGGAAAGACCAGGCCGACTCGCTAGTCGTATGTATTGCTACGCTTTTTAACCCTGCTGCGCACGGTATAACCACGCCCGCCTGTGCTGCTAGCTGCTCGCGAGTAGACAGACGACCAACCGCATCGTGTGCGAGTCCGCCACATCAGTAGATGGGCTCTCATCTGTTGCCTCTCAGGCACACGCTTGCGTCGTGGCGTATCACCATTATCTGCGTATATACCGCCGCCGTTTTCGCTGCAATATCAGTGCGACGCCCCCCCCCCCCATCCCCAACCCCC